TCGTTGCTTGAGCTGATCAGCTCTTTTACTAGACTGCCAGACCACTTGCTCACTTTGGTGAATACCACTAATGTTATTCAATCCAGCATTCAACGTGAGGAAATAGCATATACGTCGATAAACACCGTTGTGGAAAAAGACCATCCAACGAAATTTTTGAACTCGATTAATCTTCCAGGGAGACCTCACATACTGAAATTAAAAATAGGTTTAACAGTTATCATGTTGCGGAATATTAATCAGCGAAAACTCTGCAACGGAATGCGACTCGCAGTTAAGAAATTGATGAAGAACGTAATGTAAGAAAAGATTTTAACGTGGCCTTTCAAAGGTGAAGAATTCCCATGATTCCATTTAATGATGATGATCCAATTTAAAAGATTTGAATTCCCAATTCGATTGACATTCGGAATCACAATCAATAATGCTCCAGGTCGAACTTTGGAAAAGTATGGTTTAGATTTAGATGCGGATTGCTTCTCAGATGTTGCGTGTTCCTGTGTCGGCAAACCAGATACCCTTGATATCTATGCAGAGAATGGAAAAAATAACAAATATTGTGTGCACACGAGTACTTATTACATAACCAAACACATATGAAACGAATGCTTTGTTTCGTTAATAATTTATCGTCCATATAACAGAAATATGCCACAGCAAAGCGTGGCAGGGTACAGCTAGTATGTATATAAAAGTGTTGTGTTCGTATGTCACGGTCGTCAAAACTCGAGAACGGCTGCACCGATTTCAATAATTTTTTTTAGTATTGTTCGGTATAATACCAGAACCAATGATATCGCAAAACAATGGAGGGTTGCCACCTATTTAAAAATTTTTAAACCCAATTATATTGATAAAATAAATAAATTATTACAATATGGGTACCAAATTAAAGAGGTTTAAGAAAGATAACTTCTGGAAATAATTTTGACGAGGATCGCCACCTATTTGAAAATTTTAACTCAGTAGAATTGATAAAACAAATGAAATATTGCCATATGGGTGTCAAACTAAACAGCTTTAAGAAGGTTTACAGCCGAAAATATGTTTGAGAAGGGTTGCCACCTATTTGAAAATCTAACTAAGTACGTCGATAGAATATATGAAATATTACAGTATGGATATCAAATTAAAAAGGTTTAAGAAATATAACTGTTGGAAGTATTTCTGGAAAAGGGTTGCCACCAATTTTAAAATTTTAACTCAGTTAAATTAATAAAGTAAATGATATATTGCTATGTGGGTATCCAACTAAGGAGTTTCAAGAAGGCTTTCAGTAGAAAATATTTTACAGGAGGATTGCCACTTGTTAAAAAGTTTAGCGCAATTTAGTTGATAAAATAAATGATATATTACAATATAGATGTTAAATTTAAGAGGTTTAAGAAAGATAACTGCTGGAAATATTTTTGAATAAAATTGCCAGCTCTTTGAAAATGTAAACTCAGATATTTTGATAAAATAAATGAAATACAGTAATTTGTGTGTCAAACTTTAGATTTTTAAGAAGGCTTACGGCCGCAAATATGGTTGAGGAGGGTTGCCACCTGTTTGAAAATGTAACTCAATTTAATTGATATAGGTACACAATTAAAGAGGTTTAAGAAGGAAGACTTTTGGAAATACTTTTTAGGAGGGTTGCCACCTATTTGAAAATTTTAACCCAGTTAAATTGATTAAACAAATGAAATATTGCAATGTGGGTATCAAAATAAAAAGTTTTTCAAAGACCTACAGTCTTATGTCTGTGGAGGGTTGTCTCCTGTTTGAAAATCTAACTCAATTAAATTGGTAAAATAAATAAAATGTTACAATATCGGTACCAAACAATATATTACAAAAATTTGTAGAGTTGCCACCTGTTTGAAATTTTTTAAATCCAGTTATATTCATAAAATAAATGAAATATTACAATACGGGTATCAGATTAAACAGGTTTAAGAAATAAAACTGCTGGCTGAGGACGGCTGCACCTATTTGAAAATTTTAACTCGGTTAAAGTGTTAAAATAAATAAAATAATGCCATGTGGGTATCAAATAAAATAGGTTTCAGAAAGATTACTATAGGAAATATTGTTGAGGAGTGTTGCCACCTATTTATAAATTTTAACTCGGCTAAATTGATAATATAATTGAAATATTTCAATGTGGGTATCAAATTAAATAGGTTTCAGAAATATTACTGTTGGAAATAATTTTGAGGAGGGTTGCCACCTATTTGAAAATTTTAATAATAATAATAATAATAATAAAGCCAAAGTAGAAGAAGAATATGCAAATGATAAATGACGGAGTGGGTGGACCTTCTTCTTGGATGCGCCAGGAGGAACTAGGAAAATATTCCTTGTCAGATGGATTCTGGCAACGGTTCGATCAAAAAATTACATTACCTTAGCTATCGCTTTGTAGAGAGCATTGCCATTTCAGCACTTGAGCTGCCATTGAACATCATCGAAACTCCCACTTGTAATATTTCCAGAGCAACCGGTATGGAAAAATTATTACAAAAATTTAAACTCATTGTTTGGGATGAGTGCACCATGGCACATAAAAAATCGCTTGAGGTTCTTGATCGGTTCGGGAATGCACTGATATTGCTCGCAGGAGATTTTACGCAAACATTATCTGTAGTTTCTCGATTAACATTAGCGGACGAGATAAATGATTGCCTGAAATAGTCAACATTGCGACAAGAATAACATACATACACTGCAGCCGACAGTTACTGGACATTGGGAACGGAAAGCTGCCAGTCAATGAGAGATTAAGACGAATTTTATGGCCTGATAATTTTGTAACTTAGAAACATCGAAGGAGAATTGATCGAAAGAATGTTTCTTTATTGGGAAAATTAATTATAAGAATCTCGATTCGCTCAGTTTACGGGCTATTCTTGCTGCGAAGAATAAGGATATCTATCAACTAAATAATAGTGGTATTGACAACAGTCAATGCTTGAGCTGGTCTGCTCTTTTACCAGACTGCCAGGCCACTTGCTCACTTTGGTGAATACCACTTATGTTATTCAATCCAGCATTCAACGTGAGGAAATAGCATATGCACCGATAAACACCGTTGTGGAAAAAGGCGATCCAACGGAATTTTTGAACTCGATTGATCTTCCGGGGAGACCCCATATACTGAAATTGAAAATAGGGGTGCCAATGATCATGTTGCGGAATATTAATCATTTAAAACTTTGCAACGGCACGCGACTCGCAGTTAAGAAATTGATGAAGAAAGTAGTGCAAGTAAAGATTTTAACATGGCCTTTCATAGGTGAAGAATTCCCATGATTCCGACCGACACACCATTTCAATTTAAAAGATTGCAATTCCCAATTCGATTGACATTCGGAATCACAATCAATAAGGCTCCAGGTCGAACTTCGAAAAAGTGTTGTTTAGATTTAGATTTGCGTGTTCCTGTGTTTGCAAACCAGTAGTGCGATTCTGAATATAATTTTAACCAGATTTCACGTTGTTTTCTCCATATTTGTTATTGTTTAGTTTTAACAAACGCAGTCAGCTGTTTGGTGACAATTATTTTTGTGGTTAAGTTAACAGCATCTAGTTTTTCGTTGTTAAGCTGTTGTTTGCAAACTTTTCTGTGAAGTTAAATTGAGGAAATTGAGAAAATTGTGAAAATTGTGTTAAAAATGGCATTTGCATACACTGCATCATATTTATATGATAATGATAATGAGCAGCCATTAAACGTGCCAAGAACTGACCGGCGTAGGCTAGGCTATATAGACTTAGTCCCGGCATGGCTGAAAATTTGGTGTCGCAACTTGACAATCAATTAAGATGATCGCGAATAATAGCGTTATCGACCGAAAATCAGATAAATTAATATATATTTCAACTTAATTAAGTATTATAGGTGCGTTCCAGCGGTAGTACGAATTGCAGGGTCTGAAGGTTTCAAGGACTTACAGGAAAAGCTGTTTTTACCTTTAATAAACTTTATGTGACGTGGAACAGCTTTTCCTGTAAAACGTACAATTTGTATTACCGCTCGAAACCATCTTATATAAGTATGTGTTTATGTACTCGTTTAAGGTTCTAGCTGCTCTACGGTTTTATGCCACTGGATGCTATCAACGCCCAGTGGGAGAACAGTGGGGCATATCCATGAGCCAAACATCGATAAGCCGTTTCATACACCGTGTGACTGACGCAATCAACAATTCAATGTTTAACACCAAAGTGAAGTTCCCTATGACGCAACTGGAGTGCCAAGCGGCAAAGGAAATTTTTGCGTCTTCACCTTCACCATTTGTAGCAGGAACTATCGGTGCAATCGACTGCACTCATGTTTCAATTTTGGCTCCCAAAAATAATGAATCCAATTATGTCAATCACCATGGGTACCATTCAATCAACGTGCAAATGGTAAGAACAAATCTACAACATGGAAAAATTATATTGTTATTTTGTAATGGTTCAAACTTATAGATATGTGATTCAAATCTTAAAATTTTAAACTTGAATGCAAAATTTCCGAGAGCACGACATGATTCCTTTATTTGGAGCTTCTCTGCAGCGCGTCGGGTCATGCAGCGATCATTTGAAACTGGAAATCACAACACGTTTTTGATTGGTAATATGAATAGGAATATTAAAAGAAAATAATTACAGGCGATTCTGGATACCCACTGGAGCCATGGCTGATGACACCTTTACCAAACGATCCAGAAGGAACTCCAAAGTTTCGCTGCAACGAGGCGCTATGTAAAGCACGTAACCCAATCGAGAGACTCTTTGGCGTCCTTAAAGGCACATGGCGGTGCTTATCACGGCAAAAAGTACTTTTGTATGACCCGGTTTTGCTGGCTGGGTAGTTAACGCGGGCGCAACACTGCATAACGTTCGTTTGGGCGATCGAACAACCGATTTTGACGATCGGGTTATTTATGATCCCGAAATATTAAGCACTAATGACAATTCCGCAGCACCTTCTTCAGTAGCGAAACGTGTTCAGCACCAAATTATAGATATTTTTTTTTAAATATTCGTATAACTTAATATATGCCGTCAACGGTCGTCTCGATGATAGGCCAGCCATCTACCGAGGGACGAAAGTAAGTACCATTATAGCAAATTATATCAACTTATTTATTTTACTTCAGTTCGCATTTATCATTAATGACTGCGTTTATTTTCAAGACTGGTTCAATGCACGTTAACTAACGCCTTTGTTTGTCATCAGTTTTTTTTATCATCTTCAACAATATCAACAGTATTTATTTTTCGCGTTCAATAAACATACTTAGCGAGCTGTTAAATGGCACCGCTTGAACTGCGAACTAACCAGCTAATTTTATTGATTTTTATAGCCCCAATGAAAAAGTTCCACACCTGCGCCGGCTTTAGTAGAAATGTATGTACGAAATCGAACCGGCGGGCAAGCTAGGGCTGTGCAATTAATTGATTATTCAAAACCTTAATTAATATCGTATTAATCATTATCATATTCTAATTGTAATAGTCGCGTTCCAGATGCTTCACGATTTGTAGGTTTTTACAGGAAGTCGTTCCAGGTGACCACCTTCCATAAGGTTTATTAATGGAGGAAACAGTTTTCCTGCAAATTCTGCAAATCGTGAAGCATCTGGAACGCAACTTTTATGCTAATCGAACAACTGATTAACCAACTTGCTCGAGTAATCGAATAATCGCACAGCCCTAAATAATTTTCCATTATTGTTTACATTTTCATTAACTCTTATAGAGCAATTGTTGCCTGCTGTTTCCAAGCATCAATATAGCCTATACTGCTGAAAATGTTCCTACATCGTATACATAATCAACCCAACAGCGCCCTTACACTGTACGGGCGTTTCGCTACAAACCAATAAAAAACAATTGAATTTGTGAGTGCCGGCTGATCACTGGGCTAAGGTGAAATGCAGAGACAAATGTCTCGTTATTTCAGCGAAAAACTACCTGGTTCTGTGGCATCGAGCGAGAGTGATTATCTGAATCATGTGTTGATACTAACGCTGGCATTTTCTATGCAGATGACTAGACTTGGTAAGTTTTTATTTCTTAAAGTACCTTTAAAAAATTTTAAGCTTCGCCCTTTCTTCCGACATTCTCTACTTGACCTCGCTAGCTTGCTTTCCATCTGCTTTAAATGAATTTTTCGTGCAAAATAGTCATCCTCTGGAGAAAAAGCATTTACTTATAAAATCAGTCGAAGTAGAATATCGTAACTGGACATCGATGTCAAATGGCTACGACAATGAATCATATTATGTGGCCTAGAGCAAGATCACTTTTCCTTTGTTTACGTGTCAATATGATTTGGGACCGTCAATACAGTGGCATATATGTATGTAAGTACGTACTCGCAATATAAAAGTTGTTTGCTTTCAATTTAAAAAATTTAAACAAACTTGTGTTATAGAATCTTGGAGGGCATTAGCGCACGCGCCTTTTCAGCACCGACTGTTTCTTCAATGAATTCCCCAATACACCTGAAACTTAGTTGCCAATCACGCCCTCAATAGTAGCAGGTAATGTGGTGGGTGCTGTTGCGAAGGGTTATTCATTGACACCACCAAAAGAGATACAAAACTACATCAATGCTGTTGGCATAATACTCGCTGCTCTGCCTAAGAAATATTGGAATGCAAATGAACACCATGGGTAAAATTGCGTGTTGTGTTTGGTATTATTTTCAAAGGGATGTGTATACATATATCCTCATTTCAGTGAGCCGCTGATGTGTCTTCAGTTGGTGCTGCCTTGAGTAAAAATTGTGAAGACAGCGAGCGCACTAAAATCGCTGCAAGAAATTATATATGACAATGCAGACAAATCGGCGTCACTTACTAACGAGGAAACAGCGGAAACAAAGATGAGGAATTTGCAGGGTGAGTTGAGTTTAGCGGGAAGGTTAGTACCTTTTTAAAACTCTTATTACTTTCTTGTACGTAGATTGCATAGAATATTTGGCCAAATATCGGCACTGAAAGCACAAAAATCACAACGAAAAACAACCACGCCAAAGAGGAGTTTTATGTGCCTAGTCAAGCATTTTTAACATCGCTAATACAAATTTTCACAGCCATTTTCTAGCACATACAACAAAGGTGATGTAAGCCATAAAATGTCAGTGAATTCAATTTCTAAAAAAACTTATTGCAGATTTATTCAATCTGACTTTGAAAAGTTTTGCGTTGTGCTGAGGAATGTGGTCTGCATACACGTGCAAACTGATGCCGTTCCCTATATAATGTTGTCTCTATCGGATTCATTGCTAACGCCATTAAACGATGGCATACTCGATTGTATGGATCTCATACAAGAGGTATTTTATTGTATTTAGTTACATTTCAACTATAAGAAAATTATTTTATGACATTCTTATATAGGAAGCCATGGACGATACATGCAATAATAATCGCAAAAGTTTTTAGGGAACAACTGCGGGGGTAAATGCATCATTGAATTCGAATGTCTTCACTGGGCGCTTGGCGGTTACTGCTTTACTACATCGATTCCAAGAAGTTTTGAAGCGTTCCAATGACGAAGAACGGCTGATGGGCGCCGTGCAAGGGTCACAGTAGTTCATTCCGGGGTATTGATCGTAATTATCAGTGAAGTGCACGGCTTCCAAATGCGCATTAAGTCAATTCAAGAACCAGTTTGATAACAAAGAAGGATCATACCACAACATTACCGGCACCCTGACTATTATTAAATAAGTACCAAATAAGTAAAGACATATCCTCTACCCGATATTACTTACAGTGGTCCACGAAATAATAGGAATACGATATTTTAACACCTATTACTACACTTTTCGAAATTTAAAAAGTTAAATACGGCATTAATTGCAATTGTTTCCTGTAAATTTGTTGGGGAAAGAAAAACAACAAAAAAGCGAAAGTAATGCCTTAGTTAACTTATACTATTTCGAAAAATTTAGTACTAACTTGACACACGTAATAACATGGTTCTTTTGGGTCACAACAAAATTGTATTCAACTATCAATCATGATCAAAATAAATTTTTATATGGAAGAAAATGCACAACACCCCCTGCAAAATAAGTATTAAAAATCAACGGTTATTAAATAATTAATGGAAAAAATTTCCATGAAAATAATTGTGAATTTTATATTAGAACAAGGTGTACACTAACATTTGACACTGATTATATGTATTTCAGTTTCACCAGAGAATTTCTGTAGCCGATAAGGAAACTAATCAAATTAAAGTAAACTATTTAGCTCCAGTATAAACTGTTTTTATTAATTCCTCCTTGATAAAATAATTATATGTTAATTTATAAATAATAAATATGTACATTTTATGCTTTCATTTTATTTATTGCAAAAACTATATGGGTTACTAATGCTAATTTTTTATAAATCAAAATGAAATAATTCATTAATAAATAATTAATACGGTGATTTTTTTTTAAATATTTGAAATGTTTTTCATGCTATACATTTTTGTTATTTTTTTTTAATTATAGCTTATATTTTAACAAATACTATACAAATCCAAGTTTTATACTATGTACGTAATTTAGATATATTAGGCAAACTTTTAACAAAATTGCAAACTTTTTAATAAGAACTTCTAAAAAAAATTCTAGTATGTACTTTTATAGCCCATTTAATTTTATTATAATAACGTATATTTATTTCTTTATTTCAAGTAAACAATTTGTCAACAAAAACAAAATGTCTTACAGACTAATACAGAGATTTAACAAAAAATAATAATCTTAAAAAATACACAAACTGTAATGGAAAAACGTTAAAGATAAAAGATTTGAGAGCAATATCATAATCGATATCTTATTCAATGCTAACAACGTTACAAGAGAAACCAAACTACAAATTAGATCTATTACTATTACTTACTTATAGGCAAAATTAAGGAGTGTAATGAAAGCGTGCTTTGAGGAGGTAAAATCAATCTCAAAAGATTGATATATAGTATTGAGTTCTATCAGAGCCCCCGTGATGGGTTCATTCGCTGCATATGTAGTTCTTATGAAGCCAATGTTGTGTAAGTCAAAATTTCGAAGCACTCTAGCAGGAATGTTAAAATAGATGCACTCCAGAAGGGAGGGACAATCCACAACACCTCTAATGATATCAAAAACAAAGGATAAAGACAATAGATCTCCGAGATTGCAGGGATTTTAAATTAATAAGCAAGCACCTAGAGTAGTATGAGGTCATGAAAACGAAGGGGACGTAGTGCAAAGCCAAAGCCACGTTCAATTCGACTTATGTGACAAGCATGATANTAATTACTCACATCATTTTTGTTTCCACTTTTAAAAACGAGTGTAACATACGCCACCTTCCAATCATCAATAAAATTGCCTGTAGATAATGATTTATTAAAGATGAACTTGAGAGGATAGGAAAGCGAAACGCATTTTTTAAACAACCGCCGAAAGACCGTCGGTATCTGTTTGTGAAGATATATTAAGTTTAGCGATACCTTTGGCAATATCATCCAAGGATAAAGAGATAGAGCCAAAGTCAACGGACGACTACACGTTCCCCTTAAATTCAAAATCACTATCAGCCGGAGAAAAAAAATTCGATTTGAAAAAATCGGCGAAGAGGTTAGCCGCTTCATTAGCAGAATTTGCATTTTTACCATTAAAAAATATAGCAGATGGAATGCTAGCGCAACTCTTTTTAGATTTAATGAAACTCCAAAATGCTTTTGGATTTGACTTTATATTGGCTTCGTAATTAAGAATGTAATTATTATGTAAAAACTTTTCTAAACAATTATACTTTTTAGTGTATTCTTTGAATTGCAAAAGATGAATTGATAGTTTGCTTTATTTGAATTTACAAGAGAATTTGTTCCTGAGATTCTTTAATTTCTTTAAATTTTTGTATGCCATGGTATTTTATATAGTCTCGTTGTATTCAGAGGAATATTAGTGAGAGCTATTTCAGCCACTTTAGATTTAAAGACATTAAAACAACTTGAGACATCTAAACCGAAAAACAGCGTCTCCCAATCAATATTAGAAAATAAGTTATTAATGATATCAAAATTACACAATTTATAATTAAAAGAGGGATTATGATTATTACAGGTAGCTGGAGAGAACTCGTAGAACTCAATTTTAAGAAAAATGGGAACATGATGATAGCTAGAAGAAGAAATAGAAGAGAAACATTCGTTAAGAGAATAGTTCATATTATTGCTTATAAATATAAGGTCTAAAATTCTATTAAGTTTATTTAAAATAATATTTATCTGTTTGAGATCAATACTCAAAAAGCTGTCAACAAGATACGATTCATTGCTATAGTTTACATTATTGGGTATAAGAGTAGTATCATTATATGCTTGCGACCATTTAATGTTGCCTAGATTATAATCACCCAGGACAAGAAATTGGCTATCACTATTAGAATTAGAAACTAGGGACGTAATACTATCCACATGCACTTTGTAAAGGCTTTCAGAACAACCAGGAGGGATGTAGGAAACGCAAACGAACAGCTGTCCAAAAGCGCCACGAATACGAATGCAAAGTCGATCAATAAGAGAGTCCTGATTATCCAAGATTTTATATGAAGCACGATATTTACAGTGGACAGCGATAAGGGCACCACCGCCCCTAGTACATCCCGTTTTTACAGAGTCTCTGTCTTTACGAAATACATCGTACAGTTTAAGATCAAAAAATTCCTGGTCATAAGAGTCTGCGTTGAGCCAAGTCTCTACTATAACGAAGATGTCGTAATCTTGGTGCGAGCACATCATGCGTACGGAATTGGCTTTAGTTCTGAGGCCAGAAACATTATGAAAATAAATTTTAAGATTTTGAGGCGATTTACGTAAGTAAGAGGTACGATTAATAACGGGACCAAGTGTGGTTCTCCGGACTTTTGAAAAAAACTAAACGGCCGTACACTGCCATTGGCTGGCCAGACATTAGGAGATAGAAGCTTCTCGTAAAAGGAAACAGAGACTCCAAGTTTAAAATTAATTTTCTTAAGAGTACTTACAACGACCTCTTTCTTGACTAACCTAAAGCAAGTAAGCAAACTCTTATCTATCCCTGTTTGCTTATTAACATAATCAACAATATTTTCCGCAGTAACCGTAGGCAAAAACGATGACAAATGTAACCATTTCATAGGCACAGCAACTTCCAAACCAGAGTCTGCATTTGAACCAACAACAAGTGTCTATTTTTTTGTTGTTTTTCTTCTTAACATCCAATTTTTTTGAAACGCGTTGCGAAGGTAACAGACGAGAATCCAACGGGAGGGATGGGAGATGTAGTAGCGGTAACAGGAGAACGAGCATCAGCAAGAGCAGGAGCATTGTAAGAGTCTTTGAAAGAGACAGAACTCGAAGTTTTAGCAACAGCAACGGCTGCAGCAGCGTAACTCATTGGAATATTCATAGCAGTAGAAAGCAGTGAAAGAGTATCATTATTCGACTCTTTACTATGCGCAACACATGTAATATTCTCCTGAAGTGACTTAACATCATTCGATACAGCCGAGGTCGCAGACAACACATCTGTGTTAGAAAGATTACGCTGCACTGCATGCAGTTCAGATTGCAAATTTTCGATTTTATTTTCAAGTAAATTCTTGTCTTCACTTAGGGGTTTTATTAGGGAGAGCGCATGGGAATTTTCAGCTCTCAAAGCGGCAATCTCTTTGTATATATCATGCAGAGTAATTTCAATGTTGGCGCATATTGGATATTTTTTCTGCGGCAAAACCGGTTTAGCAGGTTGTTGGTGCAGTGCCGGGTTATGATTATCGCCAACTACACCACACGTTTAATAGCATTGGCAATATTAGGGGTGAGCGAAGAGAGCTACGGCGTACATTTGTGCATTTAGCACAAATAAAAGAATTATCCGCACTTTGAAGAAACTCCAAATCAGCAGGCAGAATATTTAAGCACTTTAAGTGAAAAAGCTCATTGCATCTGGAACATTGCAACTTATGATCACCACGATCCCCCTTCTGCCCGCAAACACAGGGCATTACACTTAATTAAATAGCAGATATATTGCAAAAAGAAAATAACTAATACTGAGTAATAGAAAACATGTCCATGCTGTTGAGTACTCACAACACGACTGAAAAAAAAAAATATCCTTTCCGATTCGGCCTGTGCCTCCGCAATTTTTAAAAACCGTGTCTTTGTTGGCGATTCCTCCGTCCGTTTTCGCTTGGCGGTCCTGCGCGGTGTCTGACTCGAAGCTCCGAGTTGCCTTCTGACACCCTTAATGGAGGTAGAAAGATGGTGTCTACATCTTCCTCCACGACTAGGCGGAAGTTTTCATCCGCCGCCCCCAAGGCCACTTGCAGGTTCTAAAAATAGCATACTGAAAATTACAATATGATTAGCATTTATTCAATACGATATAATTCAACTTACCTCTCCCATGGGAATATTCTCCTGCACATCCGGTTGCCCCTCCATATTGCTGCTTCCCAATAGAGCTATTACCCGCTTTTCTAGTTCGCTCAAGGGAGGCTGTTGAAGCGGTAAGTTCCCCGTCAACGCTTGCTCCCTTTTGAGATCACGAACTCGCGCTGATGTTCGACTTTTTAAGTCGCGCCAGACCTTTGTAAAATAATAGAAACACACTTTCACACTTTACTCTTATTTACATAAGAGGTGCGATGTTTGGCAGTAATGCATTTCCTACTTCATCACTTATACTTACATTTTGCCATTGCTCGAAAGATTTAACTGCCCCTCCAATGGAGTTTAACTTCTCGGCTATCTCTGCCAACTACTTGGTGTTCTCCATCTTGCCATGGAACTTTTGGAATTTGCCGCTCGCAACATTCGGGTTTTCACCAAGAAAGACAAGCATCGCGCTTAACTGTTCCCCCGATGCACGGCTCCTCTTTGTCGATTGGCTAGACATCCTGAAATTAAAGAAGTTCCAGTAAATTCCGATTAAACACTAAAATAAATAAATATTACCTTTTGAAATTGCAAAAATTCCGTTTCCGCGGGAAGGAAATACGTTTTTTTTTATTCCTCTTTGTGCTTTTCGCACATTTGACATTTTTCTCGACTGAGATGCCACATTTCATCATTTTAAATTAAAAGAAATAATCAGCTGTTTTTCACTGTTAAGCAAGAGTTAGAGAATCATACAATTGTTAGTGTAAACGGCAAAAGTTGTTAAGTAACCTAACAACTTTTTTATTGGTAAGAGTTACAGAATCGCACTACAGATATCCTTGATATCAACGCAGCGAATTGAAAAAACAACAAATATTGTGTGCACCCAAGTACTTATTACATAACCAAACACATATGAAACGTATGCTTTGTTTCGTTAATAATTTATCATCCATATAACAGGAATATGCCACAGCAATGCGTGGCAGGGTAGAGCTAGTATCAAATAAACATAATAAATATTTAAATACGTAAGTATCCTTCGGTCTTGTTTCTATCACCGAATCAAATAAAGGTTTGGTAAGTAAATGTGTACATTTTGTACTAAGCAATAATAAAATAGTAAAATGATATTATAATGCTCTAATAATTAAAGAGATTAGTAAAACAAGCTTTCAAATTTTAAGGAAGTGACGAAGTTATTATTTTTTAATTTAAAAAATTTTATTACTCTGGTCCTGTACCAATGAGTAGAAAAGTGCCATGGCGAAAAAAAAAAACTTTTTACTAAGGTAAGAAAATTTTACATTTCTACTGTGCCAATTCGTAACTTTTTATTGCTGGAAACTTTGAACAGTTGCTCTGGTGCAAAAGAGATTAGGCAATTAGAATACAGCAATTATATAAAAAAAATATGTCTCTACTGACTTTAATTCTTCTAGAACTGAAAGACATGCGTTTATGAAACAAAAAACACTTCAAAACCGTCAGGTAGGTGTGATTCTTGCTCGGCTCAGCTTGTTCTTGCTAACACAACACATAAGATGTACAGATTCTTAATGAAATTCAACGGAAATTATTACCTGCATTGTTTTTCGCGTAAACAGAAGAAAACAAATAGAAACACATATTCGCCATGGCGGCAGTAACACCAGAGAAGTATTTTTTCTGTAGTCGCTCATTTTAGGGCCAGTTTTTCAGTGCCATCTGGCTGACATCTGATTGGCTGGTCCTAGTTTAAGCCAGCCAGATCGGGCGTTTAAATTGAGTTTAAAATACGGCTGTGCACTGAAAAACTGGCCCTTAGTGGCAGCGCTTCGAGCGTTCAGATAATCGTTTTCATTTTGCACAAAAAAGGTAATGAAACAAGTTTTGTTCCAACAGTTTACATAGTAAGTCATTTACGTATATAATTTTATGTAGAATTATTTAATAAATTTCGTTGTACACTATACTTTTTGAAACTACTTTGAACTAATTACTTTTTGTTTCTCAAAAGCAGCCCTGCATGCTTAGAAGGCGTGGGTACCAATAATTTCATCCCTGGCATATTCATCCCCGAGGAAGGCAGTCGACAAATTCAGCCAAGGTTGTTTACTGGTTATATTGTGGTTGTAAGTCAGCCAAATTGAGCCTCAGTGATGTTGTTGGAGGCCAACTGAAAGTACATCGATTTTGATCCGAGAACATTTTGCGTGCTGCGCTTTCACGAATTCTGTGTTTGTTGTAAATGAGCCAAAGTGAGCCACAGTGATGTTGCTGTGAGCCAACTGAGCCAATTGAGCTGCTATAAATCAAAAATAGTACTGCTTCAGCAACGAAGCTCGCATAAAATGAAATATATTAAGGGTATTCTCTGAGCCTTGCAAAACCCTTGCAAGGTGCACGGATTGCACGAATTGCAAAGTTTTCCAATCCGTGCAATGACACAACAACAAAACACATGCTTAAAATATTTGCAATTGCTGCAATATATGCCACGTCTAAACCCATGTATATTTCCATGCAACGAAGCCTAGCAAAAAAAATGCGACCCTGCGCCAGCTGTCTGTTGTCATTTTGAATTAGATATTTGCAGAAATAGGTAAGTTTTGAGATTTTCATTTGTGATTGTAAGTTAATGCAAAATAATTACATGTTTGATAAATATATCTAAAAATATATTCGCAACCATATCTGTTCCTGCAGTCACTCATTATTAAAGCTTTTTTATTTGCAGAAATAAGCGATTTGGAGACTCCACCGACAAAAAAAAATAGGCAGCAGCCTAACAAAAAGTGGACTGAACGCGAAGTGCTCTTAATTATAGATTTCCTGCAGGATGAGGCAGATTTTCAGGTTTGTTTTATAAGTATACTATACTCTTAAATTCGCTTATTTTTCTTCCAATATTTTCAGGTTCCAACTGCTCAATTCTTTTACAAAAAGTTCCTGGAGAAAACGCAATTGAATGCGTCGTGGGAGCTTCTAAAATGGAAAGTGCGACATTTGAAATCCAAATTTCGTGAGGCCAATGGCATGCTCTCTTCAAGTGGTGAAGGATTACTATCGGATGCAGACGGCAGCAGCATCGAAGGTAGGTAAAACTTGGAGTTGGAATTCTTACTTCGCTTGTGTCCAATGCAATGTGCAGCTTTGACACTCCTTCTCTCCCGGCCCAGCGGTCTCAAATAATATACATACATAGCCGCAAAGTCCGCAACGTGTGTTATATACACATACTATACATATGTACGTATAATAATTTTAATTTAATTTTTTTTATAAATTTCAGCAAAAGTGGCAAAAATATGCCCACACTTTGATCGGCTGAAAGAAGTTTTTGGCAAGCGGGTGCAAGACAGTCAGCCAATCTTGCTAACGACTGACGAACTACTCCCTGTTTCGCCACAATTGTCCCCAGCGAGTCCTGCTCTAGTAAACGATGCCATTTTAGATGAGTCGACAAGTGCCGCAGTAAGTATCGCGCCTTCCGGTATGCAAGCTCTAACTGCGCCATGTATGGCACCGAGAACGACGATCGCCTCGCGCACGCCAACCAATTCGATAAGTCAACTGGCTGCCATCCAAAAGGAGAAAATTTCTTTGGAAAAAATTAAATTGGAGTATGAGAAAAATAAATTTGAAAGAGATAAGAAGATTGAAGAAAGTAAAGTTTTGATGGAAGAGAAAAGAATAGAAATTGAGGCGAAGAAAGTTGAATTGGAAGATAAGTGGAAGGTACAAGATATGGAAGGNAATTACATGTTTGATAAATATATCTAAAAATATATTCGCAACCATATCTGTTCCTGCAGTCACTCATTATTAAAGCTTTTTTATTTGCAGAAATAAGCGATTTGGAGACTCCACCGACAAAAAAAAATAGGCAGCAGCCTAACAAAAAGTGGACTGAACGCGAAGTGCTCTTAATTATAGATTTCCTGCAGGATGAGGCAGATTTTCAGGTTTGTTTTATAAGTATACTATACTCTTAAATTCGCTTATTTTTCTTCCAATATTTTCAGGTTCCAACTGCTCAATTCTTTTACAAAAAGTTCCTGGAGAAAACGCAATTGAATGCGTCGTGGGAGCTTCTAAAATGGAAAGTGCGACATTTGAAATCCAAATTTCGTGAGGCCAATGGCATGCTCTCTTCAAGTGGTGAAGGATTACTATCGGATGCAGACGGCAGCAGCATCGAAGGTAGGTAAAACTTGGAGTTGGAATTCTTACTTCGCTTGTGTCCAATGCAATGTGCAGCTTTGACACTCCTTCTCTCCCGGCCCAGCGGTCTCAAATAATATACATACATAGCCGCAAAGTCCGCAACGTGTGTTATATACACATACTATACATATGTACGTATAATAATTTTAATTTAATTTTTTTTATAAATTTCAGCAAAAGTGGCAAAAATATGCCCACACTTTGATCGGCTGAAAGAAGTTTTTGGCAAGCGGGTGCAAGACAGTCAGCCAATCTTGCTAACGACTGACGAACTACTCCCTGTTTCGCCACAATTGTCCCCAGCGAGTCCTGCTCTAGTAAACGATGCCATTTTAGATGAGTCGACAAGTGCCGCAGTAAGTATCGCGCCTTCCAGTATGCAAGCTCTAACTGCGCCATGTATGGCACCGAGAACGACGATCGCCTCGCGCACGCCAACCAATTCGATAAGTCAACTGGCTGCCATCCAAAAGGAGAAAATTTCTTTGGAAAAAATTAAATTGGAGTATGAGAAAAATAAATTTGAAAGAGATAAGAAGATTGAAGAAAGTAAAGTTTTGATGGAAGAGAAAAGAATAGAAATTGAGGCGAAGAAAGTTGAATTGGAAGATAAGTGGAAGGTACAAGATATGGAAGGAAAGAAACTAGAGTTAGAAATGAGAGAAAGAGTGGCAAAGTACGAAATTGATAAAAAGTACAATAAATGAATTTGTTTGTATAAAATGAGATTTTTTATTCAATCGGAATTTTTAAGTTAACTCAAGTTACATTTGGAAAACAGTCGTAAGTTTAAAAGCTATTATTAATTACACAGCACAACATAACTCTACCAAAATTGTGCGGCGCAACCAGTGACCGCTCTTTCTTAAGGGAGGTTTTTGCTTAAATCCATTTACATGTTGTATTAGTTCTGTTTTAGGAGCTCTATTTTTTTGTTAAGTGTTTCGGAATCTCTTGAATGTTTGGAGAAATGTAATTAAGTTGAAATTTTTTATCGATTTCTTTTTTTATCTATACTAAGCTAAAACTTCTATACTAAATAATTATATAAAGATCGTTTTTGTAAGAGGTAATTTCTCAATAATTCTTTAGAAAAGAATACGATTATGGCAAAATTTTGGAAAATGGGCGTGGCACCGCCCTCTTATGACCACATGTGTGTATCTCAGTAACCGTTCAATCGATTTGTACCAAACTCGGTATGATTAATGCGCTTGCCACATAAAATCAAAACCAATCAAAATTATTGAAATCGGACTTATTTGTTAATATATGTAAATTGCTGTTAGCACCATGTCAAGGTCAAAAATTTACTTTTTTCCGGTAGATGGAACGTATAACATATAAGGTACTTTTCCGGTAGGTGGGCCAGGGACTGATCCATTCGAAGAAATCGTATGGTAAATGATATATTATGGTCAACTTTTATGTTGAAACTTACTATATTATACAAGTCTTTTCATAATAAATATGAGTGCGAATATATTTTTTAGATCTTAGATCGGAACCACTTCTAAACTAGTGCTTAACTGTTCGCAAGCTAGTCTTTAACTGGTTCCAAACTAGTTCCGAATAGGCCCCAAACTATCCCCGAACTGTTCGCCAATTAGTTCCTAACTGGTACCCCACTACTCTTGAAGTGGTCCCTAGCTATTCCCGAACTAATCCCGAAATGGTCTTGAATTTTGTAACTTTAACAAATAATAATGCCGGTGTCATACATTTGCAGTTTTAAAGTTTTTATTCAACACCAAACATTAACCTATATAACGCCTGACGCTTGAATTCTGCTTCATTGGTTGTTTGGTTGTCGGTGTTAGTATTGCTGATTTCGTCTCCGTCTTCTTCGAGTGAGTTGCTGAGATATTCATCAGGGTTAGTGGATGATAACAACATGTTGTGCAATACGCAGCAACCAATAAACCACTCCGAACAAAAACGATGGCTTTTTTTATCTTGAACTCGGATCCTTAATTCTTTTAAACTACCGAAGCGTTCTTTCAAAAGCCCGACACAATTTTCAATTCTTACGCGAAATCGGCTGTGACGTAAATTAAATGCTTTGCGCTTGCAATAGTTCAATTGCTGAGAGTTTGACCTGAATGGAGTTATCAACGTAGTAAGCAGTGGGTATGCGGAGTCTCCCGCTAACCACTCATCACAAGTAAAAAAAATCGTTCTTGCGTGTAAAAAGAGCGCTAGTACGAAACATCCGTGCATCGTGTACACTTCCGTAGTGGCCAACCGCAACATGGCGTATGCGTAATTGATGATCGCACACGACTTGGGCCTTAATGGAGTACACTCGGCTCTTTGAGAAATAAACCGTATGGTTGACCACTGGTGCTTCGGAAAGTTTTAATTCAGTGCCGTCAATATACCCAATACAATGTGGGAGTTCATGGTATGTCTTCTCTACAATTTCTCGCTTTTCAGCTTCATCTGGCCACGAGATGTATTTAGTTTTGAGTACTAGAAATGAGCGAAACACCCTGCGAGTAATTTTATAAATGGTTTCACCATCTCCAACCCCAAATACGGTGGCCACTTTTCGGATGGCCGCATTTTCTCCGGAAGAACCCAGGCGATACAGCACAATGGCTAGTTGGAGATCCACCGGGTATTGTTGAAGGGAATGCGAGTTATTAAATGTAGGACTTGCACTAATTACAGACAGTATAAAAGAAAATTGATTCCTAGTCATTCGTAGCATTTGGCGGAACCGGAATTCATCAAATTGTTCAAGGACAGTTGATCTCCATTCAATTGATTTAGGAATTCGCTGAAAGCTTCCACGATGGCTAGACAAAGTAATAAGAAGATCCTCATTCAACTCCTCCATCAGTTCCAATAACTTTCATCACCTAACAAATTGGATACACATAATACATATATAAAAATACAATTAAAGTTACTAATAAAATCGTACCTTGAACCAGAATGTCGAATGCAGCATTTTCAATTAAGAAGTTTACTATTTTTTCCCTATCACTTGTTCGCGGCATTTTCAATTCTTATTTATTTAAAATTTGTCTTCTTCTTTGTTAACAACAGGGTCACTATGAAATCAGCAGACTATTTTACAAAGGATACATTATGTACTCAGAGGTGCGTTCTCTGAGTATTGCATATTTCAGTAGAGGATTTTTGCATTTCTTGCTATCTTGCAATTATGCTAGACTCAGAGAATACCCCTATTGATATAGTCATAATAATAATAATAATATCCCAACGGTTTTTACCCTCCATTCCCGCCCATCCGCACGAGGGGCGCAGTCCGCATGACGTACGGAACCAATATTTTAAATTTTTGCGCCGAGTCACGATAGGCAGGAGTTTGTTAAGTGTCGAGATCTAAAACTGTTCAGCTACAGAACTAAATTCATCAGCTGATTTTATGTATTTATGTCAATAATTCACTTATTGAGAGAGGAGAGTATCGCTTTCTTAATGCTGAAAAGCGGATCTGATATATCAAACGTGCTGGAATGAGAGTTAAAATCCTGGCATAAGCAACGGAGTGGGTCGTGCAATTCAAAATTGGTTTTACAAGCTTTCAGAAATATGGGACAAAAGTGTCTTGATACGCGTGAGGGAACATTAAAGCTTACATCAGCCAGAAGAGACGGACTTGAAATTG